TTTTCCAAAACAGATAGATCACACATTTCTGACCACCATTCCTTGATATGTGGAATAACATCATTTTTCCAATTTCTTAATATTCCTTTTGCTATGCCGTCCACCCCCCATACTCAGTACAATCACAATTCCTGATAAACAGTCAAATTCCAAAGCTTTTGTATATAATTCAACATTACCTTAACATTTTTAACATTTAAAGGTTTTCCCATGAGTCTACTAATACAGAATCTCCAAAAGATACTAAATGATCACATGACAATCTCTTGTGTGACAGTGAGTCCTCAAATTCCTTATACCTCCAGCATAAAAAATCTGATGTCCATCCTTTCAAATACATTCTCTGGGGAGTCCAATATACCATACATACATACATATATATAATGATGGAGTGGAACTATCAGTGGGCCACATACCAGATAGAGACCAGCTATAAATACATTGGTGTCCCACAGTCACATGGGAACCATGATGAGGAGGCAAGGAAGACAGCAACATCCAAGTATCATCAAAGGATCAGACAGGTCCTGAAGAGCCAGCTCAATGGGAAGAACAAGATCCATGCCATCAACTCATACGCCCTGCCAATCTTCAGATACCCTGCTGTTATAGTGAGCTGGCCAAAGGAGGACATGGAGGCTGCTGATGTGAAGACCCAGAAGCTCCTCACAATGTACGGAGGTTTCCACCCGAAGTCCAACACCTAGAGACTCTGCACCAGCTGGAAAGAGGGCAGATGAGGTCTGGTGAGTGTCAAATCACTGTCCTGGATGAAACCCAGAGCATCTAGGAGTGCATCACTAAGATGGCACCCAAAGATGAGCTGCTGAAAGAATGCTTCAGGCAGCAGCAGACACGGGAGGAAGGTCAAGTGGAGGAAGTGCCATGGCAAGACAAGCTCTTGCATGGATGTACCATCAACAGATAGCTGAGGTGGCTGATGCTGGGAAATCCTACCAGTGGTTGGAAAGGGCTGGACTAAAAGACAGCACTGAGGCACTGATCATAGTAGCACAAGAACA